TTTTCAAAGTTTAAGGGTTAAGTTGGTGCTAAATTAAAGTTTAGGGACTATTATGGTATTGAAAATTAAAATTTAGGGACAATTTTGGTAGTTTTTGAAGTTTAAGGATAATTTTGGTACAAAAAAGTTGAGGGACTAAATTGGCATTTAAACCAAAAAAATAAATAAATCGCTACACCAAAAAAGTGGGTCGAGATTTGAGCCCAACCCAGCCCAGCCAAAATTCCAATCTTGAATCTCTTCCGTTCACATTTTAACGACGCGGTTAAATCCGGCAGCTTCTCCTACAATTTCTTCACCCTTTCCTTAACCAATGAAATCACGACACGTATAAACCACCCCTTCTTTAATATCGCACTCAACTCAAAATCGCAGGAGTTTTCCTTATTTTTGTTTCTTTAACAAAAGCCCGAAACAGGAAACACAATTAGCAAATTCATCATCTTTTTCTTTCTCCTTGAAATCTTTAGGGTTTTGATTCCTGGATCGATCGGTCATCTCAAGACCGACGACCTTCCAAGCTATGTTCAAGTTCTGGTATCGTGTTCATGATGCTTATTTTCTATGTTAATTTCGATTGCGTTTTGATTTGGATTCGGTTTCATTTCTTTTTCTCTATTTTTTGTTTGAATTTCATGTTTGGAGCTTAATTTTCATGGTGGTTCTATGAATTCGGTGATTATTTTTTCCTGAATTAGTATTTTTATCTGACATTAAGCGAGAGGTTTCGATGCTCCTATTGTTGATGGGGATTATTGATTTTGATTAATTGGGGTTCAATTTTTTTTTTAAAAAAAAGGAATAAAATAGTAATCTTTGTCAAAAAATGATTATTAATAATTACATTTGGAAGGACCATCTATCCTTGGTTTTGATTGGGAGATTGTCGCTTGGTTGTTGGTTGTGTTAAAGAGAATAGGTTGGCTGTTGTAATCAGTGCAAGATATGCTAGTAATGTAGAAGCTGAAAGAGATGTGTGTTGGTTTGATGGGAAATACATACATTCCTGCTGGCGATAGTTTGAAGGTTCTTAGCTGTTCGAACCCTTTGGGTGCAAGGATTAGCTAATATAACCTGGTTTTTAAGCTTCATTTGGGGTTTCAAGTTCATGGCAAGTGGTAAATTGAATGTTTTAATGGAATGGGATCTGATGTGGTTAATACGGACTCGTTTTAATCTTGAGAATGAGAACTGCTGGATAGCTAATATGCTGGGGCATTACTTTAAGTATGTTTAGGTTTTTTGGTTGCTTCAGGAAGCATTTACATGATTACTTGCTACTTTGAAGACTTGAAGTAGTTGTTCATTTTCTCTTAATGTCTAATTGTGCATATAGGATGACTGTTAAAAGTGAAAACCCTAATATATGTGTTTGTCTACGGACTGGATTCTGTGCATTGGCCCTAAAAATTGTTTGTAGTCTTTTAAGTTTTTACTAACTTTAATCTCCTTGGGGTTAACGGACTATGAGATGTATCATCCATTTTGCTTGTATCTTTTTTTTTCATTTTCATGTTACTCTCTGCTAAGTTTTTGATCATGTCTACCACTAGGGGTTCACAGGAGCAACAAGCTCAGCCACGTCCACAAGAGGGTTCATCACATTCTTGGTATCCTTCTTCTGTTTTTAGCTCCCCGAGTTCTACTCAGCCCCCATCACCAAGCAGCAGTGGTTCTAACAGTGTCAATTATCAGAGGCCTACAGATAGGCCACAGTCTCCATCTCATGTTTCACCTGCTGAAGCAGCTGGCATCATTGCTCTCTTGAAGGACAAAAGGTGATGAACATGATACGATAACCCTATATTGATTCAGTTATCCAGATTGTTATACGTGTATAATCATCTTAGAATTTACAGTAGTGAGCTGGTATGTGCCTCAGTAAATCTTGTTTGTGAATGCATTGGATTCCAGAGAATATATAAAGTGGAATGCAGGAATCTAAGATTCATGATCTTAAATAATGGAATAGCTAAGAAAATTATTGTTTTCATTTATTCAATACCTCCAACCACATTGGATATGCATAATCTAAGGATTCCTAATGAACTGGCGGACATGATTCCATGAATGTGTGTCAGGCATTTTATGTATGATTTTCCAATAATCATATACGTTTCTAAATTTTTCTGCACATTGCATATGGCGTTAGTATATGTTTTAAGTTTGAGTAGAGTCTTTATTGCTTATATATTATTTATGCAAGTTTTTGCCAACATTCTTATACATGTTAAATGAATTTTGAATTTATGATTTTGATTCCAGTTTATTTTTCTTTTATATTTCACAATTGATTAGTTTTGCTGCTTAATTCCCTTTGGGAATATGTGTTTCGGCAATTATTTGTTTTAGTGCCTTTAGAGACATAGGGGAGGATCATTTACGCAAATTCTAGTTTTCTTGCTAATGTAGTAATGTCCCTTTTTTATGTTATAGTGTCTGCATTTCCTAATTCTTTTCTTGTTTCTTCAGTGTTGATGAGTTACGGAAGCTCCTGTCTGACAAGGATGCATATAATCAATTTTTACTCTCAGTTGACCAGGTTAAAACTCAAAACAGTGTAAGTAGCAAATTCTGAACTGCTTCTTTGATTCATTTTGTCACTCTGTTAATCTGTTTCGTTCAACCTGCTATATGGTGCTATGTGGATAAAGTTGTTTAGAATGTTCTTGGTTTGTGATTCTCTTTTCCCTTTGATATTGTTAGTAGAAAGGAATTTGATTTTCACTGAAAAAAAAAAAAAAAAAAAAAAAAAAAAAACAAGGAATTGATTCTCTAGTATGATTGGTGGGATTAAGTGGTCTATGATGATTACCTTGTGAGTACCCTCATATCATTTTTATTAGTCTAATTGCTTGAGAATATGAAGAAGAGAGCCAGGCTTTAGTTAAATAAGGAAAACCATCCAACTTCTTCGATGGGATTAATGTACTGTCTTATTAAAATAAGAATTAATGATTCTCATAATAGGTTCATGTGAATGTCAAAACACTCAATTATACTATAATCATCCTTGTATAGTACTTCAGAAAAGAGAAACAGAGATCATGCCCTTTTTTTCTTTTATTTCCTGCAATGACATGATAGCTTTTGTGCTTATTCTAGATTTCTAAAAAACCAACATCAATAAATGCATTAACAAGAAAACTTGTTTCACTATTTGTTTTTATTCTGATAATTTCTTAAAGTATCTCTCATGGTTACTTCTTCAGATACGAGATGAACTTCGCAAAGAGACTTTGCAGCTTGCTAGTGAGTGGTTTTCCTTTATATTGCAATCATAATAACGTGAAGAATACTCAGAAAGACAATTGTTAATAGAATCCTCTCAATTTCAATTAACAGGATCAAATTTGGAAAAGGAACCACAAATCATGGAACTTAGAAACCAGGTGAGTTTCCCAGCCACCTCATAATTCTCTTTCTTCATTGATTGATATTAGTGTTCTGGTTGAAACTTCTTTCTGGTTGTGCGACCACAGTGCATGATCATCCGGACAACAGAGTTGGCTGCTGCTCAAGAAAAATTAAGTGAGCTAGAAAAGCAGAAAGAAGACATAATGAAGTTCTACTCCCCTGCATCAATTCTTTATAGGCTTCACGGTATACAATTCTAATAATCCATCTTTAAACCTCAGACTTTTGATCAATCAAATGACTAAATCATTTTATGATGCATTTTGTTGTTTTCAGAGGCAATGAACAAGACAGAGGAAGAATCAGAAGCATTGCATAGACAGCTACTTGATAGGGAGATAGATCTTGGAACATTTGTGCACAAGTACAAGAAACTCCGCAATACTTACCACCGGCGAGCACTAATTCATCTTGCGGCTAAAGCTTCTTCAATTGGATGAAATTTGGATTGACTTCTTGAAACTCTCATGGTGTATCTAGGAGTTTCTTTGGCATACAACTCGTGGGTTGGATGATACTAATTTACTTTTCATTTCTTCCTCTTCTCACTTTTTGTTGTTAATGTCTGATTTCCCCAGTGGCCCTGTCTTGTTCTCAAATCTCAACTAGCGGGCATAGCTGTACAAAAACAACTTGCCAATTTCTGTTTCATTATAAAACTCATACATGATTCAGGGTCCTACAGGCCTGTTGCGAATTTATAAATTTTATGGTGACAGTGTTTTATCACCTCGATTTGGGTGCTTAGGTGTGGTCCGTGTGGACGCTTAGGCGACAAGAGAAAACACAGGTCCTAAAATGAAGTAAACACCTATATTTATGTAATTTTAGCATTTAAAACTACATTGTTTGAATCATAGCCGTAAAGGCACCGAAGTATTGACTCAACCAATGTCAGACTTATGTGAGGACATTAAAAATCATCTACAGCCAGAGGGTATTCCGTACTCAAATAATTGTTTTATCAAGCTTTTATAGGAACTTGTTTATAAATAATTTGCTAAAAGATATATATATATATAAATAGTTCCAATCAACTTTATTTCTTAAATATTAGAAAAAAAATCATCTTAAAATTACGTCATTTTAATAAATTTTTATTGAAAAAGACTAAATTACTTTATTTTTAAAACATACATTAAGGTGATTTTTGTCTTTTTTTTTATTAATTTTTGGAGATAAAATGAACAAACACTAACCCTTATACATATATATATATATATATATATAGCTACAGATATATCTTTCTCCAGGACCTTGTTTATAAAACTAGAGCTCCATTTGTTATGAGATTTTAATATCTCATCTTAAAAAAGGATTGTTATCATTCTTCTAGGCGAGCTATTTCCTTCTCCCACTTAAGTCCAAACATCTGGCGGCCGAATGGAACAATGAGGTTATACCGGAAAACCTGCAATTTAAGTATGATCCTACATTAGTTCAGGTGAAGATAAAAGTTCAGTCTCACTCATCAAGAAGAATGGAATGCAGTTTGATCAAAGAACAACAAAAGGCATCGTGCATGTATAGAATCCACAAAGAACAAAAAGTTACAGGCAAATTGATTATGTATTTGCTTTAAACAATGCAAATAACCACATCTAAGATGACCAACAAAACTAAAATTTGGTACCATCCACTTACACCCTCCTGGTATGTACGAGGTTTCATTGCTTACGCCAATTTAAAGTGGGTGTCAACCCTAAGAAGTAAGAATCATGGTTCCAAATTTAATACACTAGTACTGCTCTCATACCAGTACTACAAAACTCATACAATATACACACATTCCAATCTTCCCTTCAGGTTTTAGGAGGTTAATATTTAGTCTTTTGGGAATACTTTGTAGAATTTGAAGGTCTTTCTTTTTTTTGAACTGATGTGGCCATGTGCGAGAATGTGAGGCTCCTTTTGTAGCATGATTGGTATCACCAGCCCTCTATTTTATTTAAAAAAATTTATTTTGCAGATAACAAAACAACGTGTGCTTCCCATTGTTATATATAGGAATAGTCATATATAAGCACACAAGTATTTCAAGAAGTGTGGCTCACCTTATCATTAATGTCGCGCAATTGAAATTTCAATGCTTCAGAACACTCCACCCATTTAGAGTGATCTCCATTGCATTTACTCATCCATGCTTTCTTCAAGCCCACTCGCCAGTCAGAGACTTTACTCCTTATCTCCTTGTTCAGTTCAACCCACTCGGGTGCACATCCATTTTTTGAGAGAATTCTATACAATGTATCTTCTGATGGATCTGCATGAGGATTGTTGCTGAGATTAAGGGGTTTGCCTTTCCCCGGTAAGTTCTCAAACTGACCTTCTTCCATCGAATGCCATATTCTTTGCTCCACTATATTCATAATATCAGTTTCTGACCTGTTCAGATAACACACGAAAGATTACATGACAAAACTTTTACCCATATGAGAAGCAATCATCTTAAGATAAATTATTAACATCCAGAGCAAAACAAAGTTGTTCAATGGTAATGCAGCTACTAACCAAGGCCGTTGCAATTATTCTAAAAAAAGGGACATAAATTAGAAAAATAACTTCTGAACCCAGCTCGTCCACACACACGGAGTATCATGAAATGCTGACACTGACACATAGACAGGTCTTGAGATCTTTGCCACTTATTGAGCAGCAGAGGAAGTGAGAAACCAAAATCCCACATCATAGTTCACAAATAGCAGACATAAAGAATTGAAATTCATCAGGAAAAAGGTCTAATCTTATCCAAATCCAATTTAATATATACCAATCATTCAAAATTTCTCATCCTAAACTATGAAATCTGAATACAATTCTTTTACCATAAAAATAATTTCTTTGAAATTTGCCCATAATTGCAATAGATGATTTATAAAGGAAAAACTGAACCTTCAAACGGTCTTCAGTAACAAAAGGGATTTAATTAGTTCCATTTACAGAGGGATGCCAGAAAACGGACCTGACAGAGTTACGCTGCCCACGGAGCTCGGGAGGGAGCTTGCGGTCGTTTACGGCGTCAATCACAGCGGAAAGGCGGTCGGTAATCTTCTTTTCGCGCTTTGAAGATGAGGAATTAGAAGAATCCGATGATGAAGATGATGAAGCCCACCTGAGTCCAGACGCGCCATGACCCAGAACCGGAGACGAGAGGTTCCCTCTTGACCCATTAATTAACGACGATTTCGAGATCACCCGCGACGACGATGAGAGCATCCTGGCGAGGCGAGTGGCCATGGCTGCGGGCTGAGGGTGAAGCTCGGATGCAGCCGACTTATACAGTCCACGGAATGGAGGTCAGTCAAATTACTCCATTGATTTATATATTTATACATTTATTTATTTATTTTTGGTAAAAATTACTCCATTTGATTAGGATTAGGACAACAGAAAATCGATCTGGCAGGGTGGTTACGTGGCAGTTTCAAGAGCACGAAATAGGTCAATTTTTTTATTTGGTTAAATGCTAAATTTGGTCCCTCAACTTTAGTGAGTTACACATTTTTGGTCCCTCAACAATTTTTTACACTTTTTTGATCCCTCAACTATACAAAATGCACTTCGTTAATCCTTCTGTTAATTTGAGCCATTAACTCGGCCACATGGCATTTTTTATATTTTTTTTTATGACATGACGAGCACAACTTAAAAAGATGTTTATCTGGACTTTTTTTTTTTTATGACGTGTCATCTTCTTCACGCTAAACACCTCCAATGGATTCCCGTTCACCCTCTGCAACATCGGTCTTAACTCATTTCTTCTTATTCTTTGAATGCTCTCTCATCTTCACTTCATCTGTAAAATCGATCTTAATCCATTTCTTCTTCTTCCGTGAATGCTCTCTCATCTCCACTCCATCTACAAAACCGATCTTAACCCACCCATTTCTTCTTCTCTTTTCTCGAGAAAACTTGAGCTACTGGGTTTCATTGAAACCTCAAACCTGG